TCGGGCTTCCCGCTGAGAATTTCTCCCTCTCCCACTTCTTCTCCCTCTCCCTCTCCCACTCCCCCTGCTTGTGTTCCCTCTCTCGCTGTATCTCTCTCTGTCAAATAAATAAATAAATCTTTTTAAAAAATGGGTATTTATTTAGGGATGATAATAGTAGCATTTAACATCAGTTTCAATATAGTAAAGCTGCTAAGGATGTTAATCAATTCTAGGTGACATTAAAGCATATGTTGGGGGAAAATCATGGAAAACCATAACCAAAAAGAGTCTTGGCTTGTGGGCGCCTGGGTGGCTCAGTCGGTTAAGCATCTGCCTTCAGCTCAGGTCATGATCCCAGGGTCCTGGGGTCAAGTCCCACATCGGGCTCCCTGCTCTGTGGGGAGCCTGCTTCTCCTCTGCTTCTCTCTCTCCCTTTCTCCCTCTCTCTCTCTCTCATTCTGTCTCTCATGAATAAATAAATAAAACCTTTAAACAAACAAACAAAAAAAAGTCTTGGCTTGTGATCCTACATCCAACACATCACTTGTGTCCAACTGTTATGAGTTACCAAGCAAGCCAAAATAGTTGTAAAACTTATTATTTCTTTAGATGTGTAAGCATAGATCAACTAATTTCTACTTAATATTAAACAAAAATTCTAAGCTTCAAAAATAAAGTAAATAGGAAAGACAAGAGCTCATACAGGTATACGTGGAGGAAAATATGCTCTCTTTTGGGGTTTGATATTTCCAGGGATCTTAATTCCTTCTTGTGATGTCAACAATTTCGAACTTGAACCTGACAACCTGCCCCATGAATTGGGGCCTATCCATTACCTTAAATACAACACTTCAACTCATTCATGTCCAAGATCGAGAAATCACATTTCAAGAAAAAATAATTGACAAGACATATGAGTCTTGTCATATGAGTCTCACACACACACACACACACACACACACCACACACTAGTGGAAAAGGCAAACAACTGCAGCAACAACTGTGAAACCATATACCTGACAGGGAAGAAATGACTCAGGACAAACAAGTATGGAGGATGCCACGAAGCAGCTTTAAACATAAACACGTAACGGGTTTTAAAGATGGTGTCATCTTTTGAAAAATAATTTCTTAAACCATAGCAAGACTTGTTAGGTGGAAACAGACTGGGGTGGATTTGAACTACTCTACCTCTTGAGCTGAACAAGCATAAGAAACACTTCTTGCTTAAATATGCCCAAACCAAGGATGAGAAAACCAGAATTGTGCATCAACACTCATATCTGTTTTTTTTTCTTTCAAGATTTTATTTAAGGGGTGCCTGGGTGGCTTAGTCGGTTAAACATTTGCGTTCGGTTCAGGTCATGATCTCAGGGTCCTGGGATTGAGTCCTGCATCAGGCTCCCTGCTCAGCGGGGAGTCTGCTTCTCGCTCTTCCTCTCTCCAACTCATGCTCTCTCTCTTTCAAATAAATAAATAAATAAAATCTTAAAAAAAAGATTTTATTTAGATTCAAGTTAGTTAACGTATAGTATAGTATTAGCTTCAGGAGTAGAATTTAGAGATTCATCATTTACCTATAATACCCAGGGCTCATCACCAGAGTGCCCTTCTTAATGCCCGTCACCCATTTAGCCCATCTCCCACCCACCTCCCCTCCAGCAACCCTCAGTTTGTTCCCTATAGTTAAGAGTCTCTTACGATTTGCCTCCCTCCCTGTTTTTCTTTTATTTTATTTTTCCTTCCAACACTCATATAAGGAATTTCAATAGATGAAGATTTTGATGCAAAAGCACTTGGAATATATAGTGTTTCCAGGCAATTCAGTCGGGAAACTGACAGCTGCAAAGATTGGTATTTTTTTGATGTCACAAATCAAGGACTTGGTAAAGCAACAGAAATAGAAATATGAAAAGGAGGTATCCCCTAAAGAAGGCGATTGTTTCCTTTAGCACAAATAATGTTTAAAAAGCTCAAAACATAGCTGTTAATATTAAATGAAAATAGAACTGAGATTGTTATGCCAGATTGAAGAAGTTTATTAGAAAAATGGAGAAAAATAATCTGTATGAAAATCAAAAGGCAGGATCTATGACAACATCATCCAGATGAGACACCTGGCAGGAGCTCACAGGATAATTTTCACATTCTTCTACTTTTCACGAGTTATAACCAAGAAAGGAAGGACTCGTAGTTCAGACAAAGAGAGCACCAGAGTCCAAGTCTTCAGATAATGTCACGTCTAACACCTGTGATGTAGGATAATCAGCACCCAACCATGTGGCTCAGAACATGTGGGGCTCAGACCTGGTGAATCCCACGTGCAGGTGCGGAGGGTGAGAGTCTCCCAAGGCGACCTCAATTAGTAGCAGCCAAAGCCAGAGCCGCATCCAGAGCCACAGAGAGAGCGGGAGCCATATCCGTAGCCACAGCCAGAGCCGTATCCGTAGCCACAGCCCAGTTTGCGGAAGCCACAGCCCAGTTTGCGGAAGCCACAGCCATAGCTGGAGCCATAGCCACAGCCCTGGCCTCCGTAACCGCAGCCTCCGTAACCGCAGCCTCCGTAGCCGCAGCCTCCGTAACCGCAGCTTCCGTAACCGCAGCCTCCGTAGCCAGAGCCTCCATAGCCAGAGCCTCCGTAGCCGCAGCCTCCGTAGCCAGAGCCTCCATAACCACAGCCTCTATAACCACAGCCTCCATAGCCAGAGCCTCTGTAACCGCAGCCTCCGTAACCGCAGCCTCCGTAACCACAGCCTCCGTAGCCGCAGCTTCCGTAACCGCAGCCTCCGTAGCCAGAGCCTCCGTAGTAGCTGCCACACATGGTGTTGGTTGTTGAGGTTTTGCTTGGGTGGAGGAGAGAAGTGTCACTTCAGTGTGGTGTGGACATTTCTCCTTACAGAGGCCTTTTATATGCTCTCAATGTGGGTGTCACCCAGCACACGTGTCATGTCATTGGCTAATTTTATGATTAATTGCATTAGTTTGTTGTTTCTCAACCATAAGATAAAGCTTCGGAGGTATTAAGGTGATTTGCTTTGTTTGGACTTTTTATCCAGTTTAGGGCTTGAATGAGGGGAGATGCTCATGCACTCTACACAGTCCTGCCCCAAATTAGACTTTCATTTTAACCTCCCATGATCATCCTTTATTTCAAAAAAGAATGCATTTGTTAGGATCTTGGCCCCCAAATAATTATATTATTGTATAGCTTTTCACAGAGAGTAACTTTTCTTTTTATTCATGAGTTTTTCTTCTCTTGATCCAAATAATTTCTTCAGGGATTTAATGTCTTTTTCTATATTGAAATATTGAAAGCATAATGTATCTTTCATGCTCATGATGTTGATAATAATTTAACTCATTAAAAATCAAGGGAGACAGGTCTGAACAAAGTATCTTCTACTTTCTTGTTTATACCAATGAGTTTTATTCTCATTTATGTCCAACTTCTATGAAAGACAAGAAAATACAAGTTATTCTGTGGAATCCAATTTTTATATTTCTTTTCTTGTCCTAACTGTATATGCAGCAATTAGTCTATATTCGAAGTAACTATCCAATAAGCTTAGCATCACATATTTTTGTTAATAAATTAGAGAACTGTTCCTTTCTCCAAACGTCCAATCAGTATTCTTTGTAACCTGATATGCTAAGCTCTCTTGCATAATCCTTGAATTATAACTATCTTCACTCAAATCAGTATGATAGCTCACCCTATAGAGTAGCCAAAGAAAAGCAGAGGTAGTTTTACGTTATAGTTTAAATATATACTTCTGTGTCTTTAAGAAAATGCATGTGGGAAGACAGCATTATCTATTCAGCCACATGGATTTCTGATATTTAATTACAGATCTTAGGCAAAATATCATTTTGTATATTCTTTCAAGTAACCTTAGGCAGGGTTTATAGAATGGAATTGGTGCTGGTTTATATCACAGGGAAGATGGCTCAAGAAGTTAGACACCCACTGCATTTTAATCAACTCTCTCCGGAGATCATCAGAATAAGGACACAGGTTTTTCAAATAATGCAATTCATCTTACATGGTAACTATTTCAAATGAGTCAAAAGAAAATAGACTCTTAATGAAAAAAATTTTTCATACTAATGATCACATCAACACATTCATCTACTCAGTGATCATATGTCTTTGAATGTGCTTTCCATGTGTGTTTCTCGGTAGGTATATTTTTGTAAAGCACCACACTATTGCAAAATTTTAGCCACTATCTGCTGGATCGAGATGGAGGTGGAGGACAGGTGGAGGACATCCTCACCAAATCATATTCAAATTCCCCATATAGAAAATCACAATAGACTCAATTCTCACAGTTCGGAGTCTAGTGGGCAATAAGTTTTTAGCAAACACTGGTAAAATAGCATTATTTTTATTCTTCCTCAAGGGCATTTAAGTTCTTAGATCATTGCCTAAATTTGGTAGACCTGAATTGCATCAGTTAATTTAAAAAACTATAATTAACCTGGGGTTTTTTGTCATGTCTAAGTATTTTTTTTTGTATTTTATTTAAAAGAATATCGAACACATTGCATTTTGTGCAAATGATGTCTCTAATAACATTTGCTAGAGTGTTTTTCTCCCTAGGTTCTTAATTTTAGGAATTAATTCCTAAAATTGATGTGTTTCTTCCAAAGAATTAAGTTGTTCTCTTTGATCATAGCAATGAGAGCTTTGCGCTGCATGCCATTCTTTTCTTTTCTTTTTTTTTTCCTATCTTTTCTGGTGGGTGTGCTGTTCTAAATATATTCAATTCTCAAATATATTCCATAATCAAAAATTAAACAAGCCTTCTTTCGCTCTTCACACTCTTCAGAGTAATCCTCATTTCTGTATTCTGCTTCGTAACAGAACTTCACAAGTGTATTTCCACGGCAGTATTCTAAGAACCCTTTATCTCTCTGTTCCTGTGTTTTGATGTTTCATCTCCACTACTCTCCTGAGACCCCTCTTACAGAGATCATCAGGACCTCAGACCTGCCAAATCTAAGGTCAAGTATTTTCCTCAGCCTCTCAGCAGCGTTCAGATTCACCAACTTCTCTCTTCATTCCTGAAAGGCTCTCCAACCTTTACCTTCATCCTGCCATGCGCACTTGGTTGAATTCCAACCTCCAGCAGCTGCTCCTTCTAAGTGTCCTTTCTCTTTTCTCCTCAGATTTTACCCTCAAACGTGAGAATGCCTCGCTAGCTGTTTGCCCCACGTATGGTCTCTAGTCTCTACCTAAACTCTTGTTAGATGGGTCACTTTGGATACATTCTTTTTTCCAGTCTCATTTATATTTCCAATCTTATTATATACATATTTTATATATATAATATTTCATATATTTCCAATCTTAATATATATAAATGTGTGTACATATATATATATATATATATCTTCATAGATTAATCATCATTAGAAATTTAACAAGACAAAATTAAGTTGATGATTCTTTATACTACCCAGACTTCTTCATTCTTTTCTTCTAGGTCTCAAAGCATGCATGGCATAGATCAGATCATGACCCTCCCTGACCGTAATCCTTCAATGTCTGCCCACATTAGGATGGCTAGGGTACCAGACATGCAGTTAAGTTTGAATTTCAATATTTGTTTGCTACATCTGGCAACCCAAAGCTTAGAAAACACAGCTGACATGACCCTGCATGTCACAGCCTTGACTACATCTATGAGCTCATCAGGTAACCCTGTTCCTCTCCATTGAATATATAGATCACAGTGGCTTCTCAGCTCTTCAGATGGGCTTACTTGTTTCCACCTTAAAGGCTCTGCCTTTGAGCTCTTGAAGTAATATTGAGAATGGCTTATCCTTCTCTCTTGGTTCTCCCAGTGAGGCTTTCTCTGACCATTCAGTCTGAAGTAATCCTTCACCAATAACTCTTTAAGTTTTCCTTAGCTCATCTTGATTTATTATTTACACAGACTCATCACTATAAGAAATTATCTAATTCACTCAATCTTTGTCTGTCTTGAATTTCCTGCCCCTGCTTAATCTAGAATATAGGCTCTATCACAATAGTGTCCTTGTCTGTCCTATCCATTGCTCCATCCCAGTGCTCATAATAGTGCCTGGTATTGGGGCACCTGGGTGGTTCAGTTGGGTAATCATCCAACTCTTGATTTCTGCTCAGGTCATGATCTCAGGGTCCTGGGATCAAGTCCCTCAGGGGGCACTGCACTAGGCATGGAGCCTGCTTGAGATTCTCACTCTCCTTCTCCCTCTTCACCTTTCCCCCCCCTCATGTGTTTTCTCTCTCTGTCTAATAAATAAATAAATCTTCAAATAAAAAAATAGTGCCTAGTATATAATTGATTCTCAAAAAAGTTTGATAAGTGAATTAGTAAATGATCAAATCAATAAAATGAAAGATTATTTTTATATTTCCTTTAAACATCATATTTTGGAATAACTTTAGACCTATAAAAAGTTCTAAAATAGGACAGAAAATTCTTATATACCCAACACTCAATGTTCCCTAGTGTTAATTTCTTTCATAACCATAGTATATTTATCAAGTCAAAGAAATTAACTTTATATGATACTCTGAACTAAACAATAGATTTTATTTCATTTTTTTCCATTTGTGTCTTTTTTCTGTTCCATAAGCCAATTCACATTGCATTTAGTTGTAGGACCTTTTTAGTCTCTTTAATTAGTGACCGTTCCTCTGTCTTTCCGTGGCCTTCATGGCCTTGGCAATTCGAAAGAGTTGGGTGTTTTGTAGATTATTCCCCAGTTTGGGTTTGTCTGAAGTTTTACCACACCTAGATTGAGGTTATACATTTTGAGAAAGAATCCCAGAAGAGATGTGTCTTTTTCAATGTAACATATCCAGTGGTGCATGACATCAATAAATCATTTGAGAGTTTCTGGAAACCATTAAAACTCAAATTTCTAGTAAAATAAGTCCTTCCTTTTCTATATATTCAGGGTTAATAGGGTCAAACTTCAAGGTCTCTGCCATGGTTTGAGGTCATGTATAAAATTATAGATACATGTATATGTGAAGTATAAACAAAAGTTAATAACATGACTCCACAAAAAAAGATAAAACACTTAGTCATTCAGTGTTTACAAGTGAATCCTGGCACCATGTCTTCTCTCCCACAATCTTTCCATCCTTCTCTTTCCCTTTGAAGCTACCCTTTTGTTCCCAAGGCAGCAAATATGCAGGTATAAGAAGGATATTATTAAATAAAACTAGGATTTTCAACAGGTAGAATCTGCATGGGTTATATGATGTTATGGTAACAGTAACACAGTCTAAATTTGGAATCTGGAATAAACAAGTCACCAGAGTAGAAGAATCTCTCATCAAAGGCACATGATTTCATTACAGGCCTCCTGACACAGCAAAGTTGTCTTGGATATATTAGTTATGAGAAATTCTTGAGATGGTTTTAACACCAATTAGTTTGTAACATGAATCCAACAATGCCTGTGGTTTGCCCCACATACCACTCAGTTGGTTTATAAGGTTCTGTGTAGATTATAAACTTTAAACTCTAGAAATTGACTCTGCTCTTCTGAGCCTTCTTCTCACACATGAGCTTCTACAGAAACTACTATGGTGGCCTGAGGTGTGGCCATGGAGGCCTGGGATGTGGCTATGAGGGCTATGGATATGCCTCTTACCATCCGTGCTGCTGTGGAAGAGTCTGGTCTTCTAGATTCTTCTAGGAAATTCTAGATTGTTGATCTCTTGAGATCATTATCCTGTGAGGCACTATGTATATCTTCTCCATTATTTATAATAACGATATTATGGGCTGTTCAAACAATGACAACCAAATCTTAGCC